GGGAGGGAGGGAGGGAGGATTCAGAGGCTAGTCAAAAATCCTATCTCTCCTCCATTCTCATTGATCTTCATAGATCATTATCATTGGCTAATTATTTGGCCTAACCAACGATCTTTGTGAGAAAGAATTCATTCTCTTTAGCTAGTTATCTAGCTTAATCATTAGTTCTTATGAGAAATGATCTATTCATCCAGAGAAGACTGCGCTATCTTTCGAGAGATTATATATCATTAGGGCTGGTGTAGATGGTCAAAATATAATTTCACTTAGGACGCTGATCAGCTTGGATCAGAGAGGTGAACGCCTATGTGCTAAACACTTCAGATGGGCCCAAAGTCAAGCCCACTACAAGCTACAGCGAAGGTCGTCTAACAATTGAAGCTAACCTCGGCAAGCAACTCATATCGACTCAACTCAATCAAGTCAGACATGAGTCAATCCCCACACCACGCTTCAGATCAAGTCGAAAAGCGACATCAGTCGGCCAAGCCTAGAGTCGAATTCTGAGCTAAATTCGAACTCGTAGGCTAAGTTCGCCGACTAAGGAACTTCACCCACATGGACCAAGTTGTCCACTTCCAACGAAGGCGCACCCATGTCCGAAGAGACCTTCGCTCACATTGTAATAGCCAAGAAAAAAATATAAATAAATAAAATATTATAAAATTTTTTGGTGGAGATTTCCTCCACCGCTTACTAGATTTCTATAATCTCACTGCCTCCCAACAGTATAAGAAGGGGAGGAAATGTGATAAATTCAGGTTAAAAAACGAAAAAAAATAAATAAAAGAAGAAGAAGAAGAGGAAGAAGACAATGAAAAGGGAAAGGAAAAGAGAGGATTTCACCCAAAGTTGTTCACGTTAACCCAAAGGTATAAACCCTTTTCTATGTTAATTTCTTGATTTAGAAGAGAATTGTTATAGAAATCTTAGTAAATTGAATTAAAATAAAATGAGTAAGGAAGTTAACTAGCAATTGATATGAAGTCAAAAATCTAGGGTTTGCAAAAGAAATTTTCTTATGAGTTTAAGATGAATGAAACAAAGTGAAAAAAAAAAGAAAAGAAAAGGAAATACTAACCCTAGTTTCAGTGAGAACTGACCGCCGGCCACCCCTGAACGCCGACGATCCCTTGCCGTAATCTTGGGGCTTTGGCGAGACAGGGAGAGGAAGAAAGAGAGGAAGAGAGAGAAAGAGAGAGAGAGGGGGGAGAGGAGAAGGAAACCAGAAGGAAAAAAAAAGAAAAAAACGAAAGGAAAAAAAGAAAAAAGGGGGAAGCGAAAGAAAAAAAACAGAGGAGGAGGATAAAGAGATCGGGAACCAGGGAGTTTAGATAAGGAGGGGAAAATTTACTTTAAGCCCCTTGAACCATGAAAATTTTTGAAACAAACCTTATAGTAATAAGTTAGGGTTGAAAAAATAAAGAGGACTAGAAAATATTTGTTAGGCCCTTGTCATTTAATCTATTTGTAAACAAGTCCAATCTGAAGAATAAAAGTTAATTTTTAGGTTTGATAAATTTCCTATAACCCCCTACATTATTATAAATTACTAGAAAGTCCAAAAGCTAGTATATGAGAGTTATAAAATTTTGATAAATTGCTAAAACTAACAATAAGCTCATATGGACTGTAGAATTTAATCATTATTGATTATATTTGAATTTATTAGACTCCAGATTATGAGTTGATTTACCTATAATATATGTTTGTTCTGAATTAATAATTAGTCATATATCTTACATTATAGGTTCTGGCTGATATTCGGGAGACTAATATTTTGAGAAAATCGTGACCACTAGAGGTGAGTTCATTTCTCACTAGTATTTTATAATATGAAATTGCATGAGTTTTATATCTGATTTATCTTGTGATAAAAGTAAATAAGTAAATAATATGTCTTTTCATGTATATAAAGATTTGACCTACTTCTGTTGTGGTCTATCGTATAATACGATGTTAGCCTCGTACAATATATCAAAAGCTAATTTGATCTTTATGTAAATTATGAAAATAACTTTGGTTGTAAACAAGTCCAATCTGAAGAATAAAAGTTAATTTTTAGGTTTGATAAATTTCCTATAACCCCCTACATTATTATAAATTACTAGAAAGTCCAAAAGCTAGTATATGAGAGTTATAAAATTTTGATAAATTGCTAAAACTAACAATAAGCTCATATGGACTGTAGAATTTAATCATTATTGATTATATTTGAATTTATTAGACTCCAGATTATGAATTGATTTACCTATAATATATGTTTGTTCTGAATTAATAATTAGTCATATATCTTACATTATAGGTTCTAGTTGATATTCGGGAGACTAATATTTTGAGAAAGACGTGACCCCTAGAGGTGAGTTCATTTCTCACTAGTATTTTATAATATGAAATTGCATGAGTTTTATATTTGAATTATGGTGAGTTCATTTCTCACTAGTATTTTATAATATGAAATTGCATGAGTTTTATATTTGAATTATCTTGTGATAAAAATAAATAAATAAATAATTTGAAATTGCATGAGTTTTATATTTGAATTATCTTGTGATAAAAATAAATAAATAAATAATATGTCTTTTTATGTATATAAAGATTTGACCTATTTCTGTTGTGGTCTATCCTATAATACAATGTTAGCCTCGTACGATATATCAAAAGCTAATTTGATCTTTATGTAAAATATAAAAAAAATAACTTTGGCTCTTGTGCAATTTTCAAATAATTGTGGACTTTGTTATATCTGAAAGTTTTTGATGAAATATCAGAACGTATTTCAACAGTTTAACAGATTCAAAGATTTTTTATGGTTTAGTATCTGATAAAAAGAAAAGTAAATATCTATAAACTGCTTTAACAGAAATGAGAAGTTTTACCTTGTCAATTTCATCTGACATATTTGCAAATTCTGATATGCAAAGTATTTCTCATTTGACATGTGAGCTTGATGTTTTCCAACCCTCAAATAGTCCACTATGGATTAGTTCTACCTGTCATATGGTGAATGCATCTTTATTTGGCCCTTCTGTATTGGCCCTTCTGAAATCTATTCTAGCCCCTCTGTATTTGGCCGGTGGCCTATGGCAGTGTTAGGTGCATTCGGTTCCCAGGAATTATCTGTTATCTGATGCGGTTTACGCATTCCCTTGCTACTGGGCTAAAATTTGTAGCCTTAGTGGACCTATGGGGTGACTTTTACATTCATGAAATACTCATCGAGAAATAAGATTCTGATAATTGACTGTGAAATTAAGAAAACAACAATTCTCTGATTTTATACAAATTAGTAGTTCTTTTCCTTCTTAATGTTTACCTTGATTCAAAAAGGGTTTGATTCCAAGAAATTTCACAGTTTATTCAGTTACACGTGAGAAAGGAAATATAATTGTTGTATTCTTTCTTAAAAATGATAATATTACGATATTTGGATCGTATTCTGCTATCTGTGAATTTCTCATGCAAACTTGAAATTTGTTAATTTCTGAAAACTATTCTTATTACTATTTTGTTAGTTATCTAGGAACTCTAGTGGGAAATGTTCTCACTGAGCGCTAGCTCATTCCGTTATTTTTAAATGTTTTTCAGATCGGGCGTAGCTTCATAGTAGCCGAACTTTTGATTTAAGCTTTTGGCTGAGAGACGTTATATGAAGAGCTTCTTCTTGTTGATGTTACCTTCAGCACATTTTGTTTTGTTTTGTAAAAATGCTTATAACGGTGAGCTTGTGGGCTGTAAATACCGATCATATATATATATAGTTGCTCTGATTTCTATCATAAGCAGGTTTATGAATATTTTGAAAATAAACTATGTGATATGAATTGCCAGGCTTGACTCATGCATAAGACTTGTCTTGTGCATGGGTCGCTGCTGTCACATACCCCGTATTTTATGAATTTTCGCTGTAGTTTCGGGGCGTGACAGTAAGGTGGTATCAGAGCCTAGGTTTTGACGTTAGAAACCTTGTAGGGCACGCTATCATAAAGTATATGCACTAGATGAGTGTTAGCGTATGGATCAATTATGTGATATATATGTCTGTATACATATGTATATACATGTATGCATATAAATATTTTATAGTAAAGCCTTTTAGGTTCATTAAGGAGTGTTTAGATGTTTATTTTGTTTTACTTTGTCCTTTTTTTTCAGTAAGCCGATGGATGGTTCCCCTTTTGTAGGATGGCGGGAACCAATTCATCTTCCAGTTCATCATCTACCCTGTCCAGCCCTATGCTTTTCGTAGATAGCTCGTGGGAACCAAGCCTGAGAGACTGGGGATACACTTCCGATGAAACTGATCCGAACGTGATAATGGCTAACCATATGACCCCCGACTCACCGGAGATCGAACCAGTAGAAGTTGTTATGGTAGATTCATCCGAGTCTAAGCTTGAGGATCTCGTGGTAGAAGTTATCCCAGTTGAGTCATCGCCTTCAATCATTATGATTTTATCTGACCCCTCTTACATGGAGTCCGTTGTAGCCCAGATTCCTAGTGATGACCAGAGACTTGCCCCCTCTGTGGGTGAGTCGAGTAGCCTAGGCATTGGTTCAGATCTCGACCTTGAAGGATGGGGGACTAGCGGCATAGATCCAGATCCAATGTCCAATTCTGTTGATAGCCAAGACTCAGAGGAGACTGAACCAACTGAGGAGAAGTCTAGTTCCAGCAGCTCCTCTTCTTCAGGGAAATAGAGCATAACTGTTAGGGAAATTTTGTAATATCAGTATATGGGTTTTCATAGTTACTCTTTTGGTTAATGTAGGACATTTTTGGTAGGAAATATGTATATATAAACCCATATACTCAGATATGTATATGAACTAAAAAGTTAAATATTAATAATATACTTTTGGTTTGCAAATACTGATTTGTGTTATTATGTTGAGTAATGATTGAGTTCTTAATTACTTAAATTGCATATATGTGACTGACTTAGGAATTTGTCCTTGTATAATAGTTGACTAAAATATTTTATTATTTATAGGAAGCTATGACTTCAGGTAATGAGCAAACCTCTCCTAATAGAGATAGGGATCTAAATCAGACAATAGGTGAAATGATGAGATCTAGAATTTCTCGTGCATCCACTTCCGGGAACCCAATAGATAACAACGCGTTGATAGATCTGCTGCAAGCGGTGACAACTATAGTCACCAGACAACAAGATCAAATTGATCGTAATCGGACGAATGGTCAAAATGAGGAGCATCCCAAATTAAGAAGTGGTATGGGAGAATTCAAGAAACTATCTCCACCCAGTTTTGAGGGAAGAACTGATCACATGGTTGCTGAGCATTGGATCATAGAAATGGAGAAGGTCTTCACATACATGAAATGCCCTGAAGAGGAGAAGGTTGATTATGTAGTGTACATGTTAAAAGACCGCGCTTACGGGTGGTGGCAAATGTAGGTCAGGACATTGAGTGAGAAGGCATACAAGATATCGTGGGAGGAATTTAAAAAGATTTTTTATGAAAAATATTTTTCTTCAACTGTTCGCAAACAAAAAGAACAGGAGTTTCGAAAATTGGAGCAAGGTGATAAGACAGTAGCTGAATATGAAGAAGAGTTCACCTATCTATCAAAATTTGCCATTCACTTGTTGGGTAATGAGGAAGATAGAGCTCGTCGCTTCGAGGAAGGGCTTCGACTAAACGTTTGGAAGACAGTCAGTGCATTTGAACTCCCTACATATGGAGAAGTGTTAAAGAAAGCCTTGTTAATTAAGAAAAATGAAATTGATACAAAGCCAAAGAATAAGACGAGCGGCTCCTACCCAAAGAAGTGGTTCTGGCAGGATAATCACGGTGGAAGGAATAAGAATTGGAGAAATAAAAAGCAAAATTTTGGACGCAGAGAGGAGCAATTTCCAAACCAGAAAACTTTGAGATGTGATGTTTGTCATAAACTTGGGCATGAAGTGAAAAATTGTTGGAGAAATACTGGAGCTTGTTTGAGATGTGGTCAGAAGGATCACAAAATAGCAAATTGTCCCCTACAGCAATCATCTCGGAATACCTTCCAGCCTGGCCAGTCCAGTGGTGGGAACAAGCATCCTCAAGCCAAGGCCCGAGTTTATTCTCTAACTGAGAAGGAAGCAGAAGCAAACAAAGATGTGGTAACAGGTACGCTAACTTTTGTGTCGGTTCATGCTCGAGTACTATTTGATTCTAGTGCATCGCATTCCTTTATTGCTGCACAGTTTGTTAAGAGAAACAAATTACCATGTGATACCCTACAACAAGAATTGCTTGTTAGTACACCTGGAGGTAGCATATTAGTATCAACTCAGGGTTGTAGGGGTAAAATTTATATTCTCGACAAGGAACTCCCCATAGAATTAATGATGCTAGAAATGCATGATTTCGATATCATATTGGGGATGGATTGGTTATCCTTAAATCATGCTTCTATTTTATGTCGAGAAAAGAAAGTAGTATTCAAATTTCCTGGCCAACCCGAATTTTGTTTTGAGGGCGAAAAGTCTTAACAACCTTTAAAAATCATCTCAGCCCTTAAAGCATATCGAGCGCTGAGAAATGGATGTATGGGTTATTTGGCTTCAGTTGAGATGGTTGATGTTGGAAAACCAAGCTTGGAAGAGATACCAATTGTCCGAGAATTTCCAGAAGTATTTCCAGATGAACTTCTCGGAATGCCCCTAGATAGAGAAATTGAGTTTTCAATTGACCTAGTACCTGGTACGAGTCCTATTTCTAAGGCTCCTTATCGAATGGCACCTGCTGAATTGAGAGAGCTAAAAGTGCAACTGCAAGAACTTTTAGATAAAGGCTTCATTCGGCCGAGTGTGTCACCCTGGGGTGCACCAGTGTTATTTGTAAAGAAGAAAGATGGAAGTATGAGATTGTGTATTGACTTGCTGAATTGAGAGAACTCAAGATACAACTACAAGAACTTTTAGATAAAGGCTTCATTCGGCCGAGTGTGTCACCGTGGGGTGCACCAGTGTTATTTGTGAAGAAGAAAGATGAAAGTATGAGATTATGTATTGACTTCCATGAGTTAAATAAAGTAACCATTCGGAACAAATATCCATTACCAAGAATTGATGATCTATTTGATCAATTACAAGGAGCTCAGGTATTTTCAAAGATCGATCTCCGTTCTGGTTACTATCAATTAAAAATCAAGCCAGAAGATGTGCCAAAGACTGCATTTCAAACTCGTTACGGTCATTATGAATTCTTAGTTTTACCATTCAGGCTCACAAATGCACCTGCGGCATTTATGGATCTTATGAACAGAATATTTAAACCTTTCTTGGATCAGTTTGTTGTGATATTTATTGATGATATTCTGATATACTCAAGAAGTAAAGAAGAACATGAAGAACACTTGAGACAGGTGTTGCACATATTAAAAAGAGAACAACTGTATGCAAAACTTAAGAAATATTAATTCTGGTTGGAGGAAGTAGCATTTCTTGGGCATGTAATCTCTAAGGAAGAGATTTCTGTGGACCCTGAGAAGGTAAAAGCTATTGTTAAATGGGACAGACCGACTACTGTGACGGAGATTCGTAGCTTTCTTGGAATGGCTGGCTATTATAAAAAATTTGTAGAATGATTCTCTCGTATTGCTTCACCTCTAGCTCGTCTTACTCAGAAGGGAATTAAATTTATTTGGTCAGATGAATGTGAGAAAAGCTTTCAAGAGTTAAAAAGTTGATTAGTGTCTGCTCCAATACTTACATTACCCAGTGGAGACACAGGCTTTGCTATCTATAGTGATGCTTCTAGAAGAGGACTGGGATGTGTACTTATGCAAAATGGAAAAGTCATAGCATATGCTTCAAGACAGTTAAAGCCTTATGAACAAAACTATCTCACTCATGATCTTGAGTTAGTGGCAGTAGTATTTGCTCTCAAAATTTGGAGACATTATTTATATGGAGTACATTGTGAAATATACACTGACCACAAGAGTTTAAAATATATATTTACCCAGAAGGAGTTAAATTTACGGCAAAGAAGATGGTTGGAGTTTCTGAAAGATTATGATATGACCATCAATTATCACCCTGGCAAGGCAAATGTTGTTGCTGATGCCTTGAGCCGCAAGAATTCATGCAATTTAGCATGCTTAATGACTTCTCAAAGAAAAATATTAGAGGACTTGGATCGTACTGGAATTGAAATTAGAGTCCACCAAATTGGAACTAAATTAGCAAATATGATAATACAACCTTCTTTGCTAGATGAAATTAAAGCAAACCAGCAGAATGATCCTCAACTGTTGAAGATAAAGAAAGATGTGGAAGAAGGCACTCAAGGAGAATTAAGATACATAAAGATGGATCATTGAGGTTTGGAACTAGAGTTTGTGTGCCTAACATACCAGAGATAAAAAAAAGATTCTAAAAGAGGCACATCACTCTTTGTATACTATGCATCCTGGATCAACAAAAATGTATAAAGACCTGAAGGAAATATATTGGTGGAATAATATGAAGAAAGAAATTGCCACCTATGTTGCAGAGTGTTTCACTTGCCAACAAATAAAAGCTGAACACCAAAGACCAGCTGGATTAGTCCATAACTTCGACATACCAATGTGGAAATGGGAAAAGATCACCATGGATTTTGACACTGGCCTTCCAAAATCTTTGAGAAAGAATGATGCAATATGGGTAATTGTTGATCGGTTGACAAAATCAGCATACTTTTTGCCTATCAATATAACATTTTTATTAGAAAAGCTGACTAAGATGTACATTAATGAGATAGTAAGATTGCATGGTGTACCAATATCAATAGTTTCTAACCGAGATCCTCGGTTCACATCAGAATACTAGAAAAGTGTGCATAGAGCTCTGCAGACTAAACTAAATTTCAGCTCAGCTTATCATCCACAGACAGATGGCCAATTAGAACGGACAATTCAAACACTAGAAGATATGTTGAGATGTTGTGTTCTGGAGATGAAAGGATCGTGGGAAGATTATCTGCCTTTGGCCGAGTTTGCATATAATAATAGCTACCAAGATAGCATTCAGATGGCACCATATGAACTTCTTTATGGAAGGAAGTGTAGGTCTCCTATTCATTGGGATGATGTTGGAGAAAGGAAACTTCTTGGATCAGAATTGATACAGCAAGCAATTGATAAAATTCAATTAGTTCGAGAACGTCTTCGCACGACACAAAGTCGTCAGAAGAGTTATGCTGATCAAAGAAGAAGAGAATTAGAATTTCAAGTAGGCGATCATGTTTTCTTAAAGGTTCCGCCTACCCGAGGAGTGAAAAGATTTGGGATCCAAGGGAAGTTAAGCCCGAGATTCATTGGTCCTTTTGAAATTCTAGAGCGTATTGGTCCAGTGGCGTACAAATTAGCATTACCACCAACCCTGTCTGGAGTACATGATGTATTTCACATATCGATGCTTCGGAAGTTCATCCGAGATCCAAATAAGATCGTTGAGTTGTCTCCAGTGGAGCTTAAGCCAGATTTGACCTATGAAGAAAGACCAGAACATATTGTGGATTTTAAAGAACAAGTACTCCGACACCGAATAATCAAATATGTGAAAGTTCAGTGGAAGAATCACTCTGAAAGATAAGCAACTTGGGAGACTGAAGATTTTATGCGAGAGAGATATCTAGAGCTCTTCGAGATATAGGTATGTTAAGTTTCAAGTACGAAACTTTTTATTAGGTGGGGAGAGTGCAATAGCCAAGAAAAAAAATATATAAATAAATAAAATATTATAAAATTTTGTGGTGGAGATTTCCTCCACCGCTTACTAGATTTCTATAATCTCACCACCTCCCAACAGTATAAGAAGGGGAGGAAATGTGATAAATTTAGGCTAAAAAACGAAGAAAAAAAATAAATAAAAGAAGAAGAAGAAGAGGAAGAAGACAGTGAAAAGGGAAAGGAAAAGAGAGGATTTCACCCAAAGTTGTTCACGTTAACCCAAAGGTATAAACCTTTTTCTATGTTAATTTCTTGATTTAGAAGAGAATTGTTATAGAAATCTTAGTAAATTAAATCAAAATAAAATGAGTAAGGAAGTTAACTAGCAATTGATATGAAGTCAAAAATCTAGGGTTTGCAAAAGGAATTTTCTTATGAGTTTAAGATGCATGAAACAAACTGAAAAAAAAAGAAAAGAAAAGAAAATACTAACCCTAGTTTCAGTGAGATCCGACCGCCGGCCACTCCCGAACGCCGACGATCCCTTGCCGTAATCTTGGGGCTTTGGCGAGACATGGAGAGGAAGAAAGAGAGGGAGAGAGAGAAAGAGAGAGAGAGGGGGGAGAGGAGAAGGAAACCAGAAGGAAAAAAAAGAAAAAAAAACGAAAGGAAAAAAAAAGAAAAAAGGGGGAAGCGGAAGAAAAAAAAGCATAGGAGGAAGATGAAGAGATCGGGAACCAGGGAGTTTAGATAAGGAGAGGAAAATTTGCTTTAAGCCCCCTGAACCATGAAAATTTTTGAAACAAACCTTATAGTAATAAGTTAGGGTTGAAAAAAAAGAGGACTAGAAAATATTTATTAGGCCCTTGTAATTTAATATATTTGTAAACAAGTCCAATCTGAAGAATAAAAGTTAATTTTTAGGCTTGATAAATTTCCTATAACCCCCTGCATTATTATAAATTACTAGAAAGTCCAAAAGCTAGTATATGAGAGTTATAAAATTTTGATAAATTGCTAAAACTAACAATAAGCTCATATAGACTGTAAAATTTAATCATTATTGATTATATTTGAATTTATTAGACTCCAGATTATGAATTGATTTACCTATAATATATGTTTGTTCTGAATTAATAATTAGTCATATATCTTACATTATAGGTTCTGGTTGATATTCAGGAGACTAATATTTTGAGAAAGACGTGACCCCTAGAGGTGAGTTCATTTCTCACTAGTATTTTATAATATGAAATTACATGAGTTTTATATTTGAATTATCTTGTGATAAAAATAAATAAATAAATAATATGTCTTTTCATGTATATAAAGATTTGACCTATTTCTGTTGTGGTCTATCCTATAATACGATGTTAGCCTCGTACGATATATCAGAAGCTAATTTGATCTTTATGTAAAATATAAAAAAAAAATTGGCTCTTGTGCAATTTTCAAATAATTGTGGACTTTGTTATATCTGAAAGTTTTTGATGAAATATTGGAACGTATTTCAACAGTTTAACGGATTCAAAGATTTTCCATGGTTTAGTATCTGATAAAAACAAAAGTAAATATCCGTAAACTGCTTTAACAGAAATGAGAAGTTTTACCTTGTCAATTTTATCTGAAATATCTGCAAATTCTGATATGCAAAGTATTTCTCATTTGACATGTGAGCTTAATGTTTTCAAACCCTCAAATAGTCCACTATGGATTAGTTCTGCCTGCCATATGGTGCATTCACCTTTATTTGGCCCTTCTGTATTGGCCTTGGCCCTTTTGTATTGGCCCTTCTGAAATCTATTCTGGCTCCTCTGTATTTGGCCGGTAGCC